ATAGTTATTCCTTGGCAGATGATTGTTGGTTCGGTGATGCTTTTAAGGAATAGCGTTACTAATGGTATTGGAACCTTTGCAACATGGACTTATGAGTACCACCAATAAAAGTAAACTGCTGTTAATGTATACATCCTTTAGGTGACATGGTGATGGTAATCCCAAAGAGGAAGTGTATTTGGGGGAGTTTGTTGGGATGAAGGACAGGTTGTCCAATACTGGGTATAGGGGGGACAAAGATGAAGAGAAGTCTTCTAGGATATTATACTCCATAAGGACAGTATATTGGGGATGGTAAAGTGCCTACCAATTTGCCTGACCCTCAGATTCGGAGGAAGTCACAGCTGGATCCAAAGGAAGTTCCATCTGGATCCAAAGCTTGTCAGGGGGGAGATAACCAACTCTAGTATGCGTTGTAAGTGATCTGCTTTGTAATATTTGGATAGGTATAGAAATCCCAATTCTCCCTTGTGTTTAGGCTTTGTCAAAACATCATATTTTAAATGTGTTTCCTGACAATTCCAGATAAAATCTGTAAACGGGCTACGGACCTGCATGAAGAATGTCTGGGAGATATGAACCGGAAGAGTCCGAAGTAAGTACAAAAAGTGTGGTAGTACGTTTATTTTAATAACATTTCTTTTGCCAAGACACATGATGTAGGAAGGCTTAAGTTACCTTTGTACTATGCTACCTTGTGAGGTAATCCATGTTTGTTGTGTGCTTCGCATATATTATACTTTAAAAGATGATTCACTTTGTTTGTTATTTATTTCCACACTTTTTTGTTTGATCATTTATTATACTAGTAAATTGTATGAAGTTTATTTCTCAATTATAAGTGCAGCTTGTGCCATCTACATTTTGTGTTGAGTGCAGCTCATGTTTTGTGTGTTATAGTGTTTATGGTAACTAGTAATTCAACCTTATTTTGTTTTGATAGCAGCACTGATTAATTTTAAAACTATTGCTTAGATAATTGTAGTTGTTATTTTTCATGAGACTTGAGGCCTACAATAAAATGGTGCCAACATTAGACATGAGGCTTTTCAGTAACCCACTTTCAGCTCCAGCAACTGTCAGTTCTCCTCTACCAATGTCCTTGATATGTCTTTCCCAGATACAATAAAATACATATTAACTGCACCATTGCATATATAAAATTAACAACAAGTACAGCTATAAACCACAGAGATTAAACAATAAGAAAAATACACAAAAATACTCAGTAAGCTAGATCCACTTTTGCAGGGTTCAGTGATTCCTTGTTTTGCAGGAGGAACAATAACATTCTAAATTCCCTTCAGCAGAAGAGACAGTCTTATACAATAAGATGGTTGCTCACTACAAAATAAGCGATTCATATTGATATTCTGGGATCGTTTCCAAGTTTTACTTGTCAAATATACAACCTGTTCTATGATCTTAATACCTGCCTTTGATAGGTTTGCTAATTGTGTGCTTTCTTTCCCATCATTGTATTTCTATATCGCATTGAAAATATATCAAATCAGCACACTAATTTTTTCTACTAAATGTACAAACCTAAACTCTCCTTTGTACACTATATTTGTAAGATTATTGCAGTGTAGTGTACTGTTTGTTCAGGCAGTGATAATAAGCAGGCAAAAAGGTAACATTATTGCTTATTCGTTGGAAAAGAAAAAAGAAACTGTTGAAAAAAATTCAATTCTTTCATTGTGTTTAGAAATTTTTTTGCATGAATTTAGCAAATTCATATTCCATGATAACAGCTGTAATGAAAGCTCTGAGAATTATTCTAGGTATGTTGTCTGGGACTTTCATTTGAGAGACAATCTGGAGTGCAAGTGGCCTTTTGTATTTCATCTATTTAGCATCTAAGATTTTATTCTTATAAATTAAAAGAGAAACAGGTATGCAAATTGCTCCAGTGAGACAGTTTCCAGAACAAAGTACCCACAGTTACATTGCTGCCACCAACCTTCTACCTTAAATCATGTCATAACTCTCACCACACTAGGATTTTGTGGGGGAGGAACGAGGACGTAGGCGCACATAGCCGGCATCCTCGTGGAGTGCGGCTGGGGAATGCTTGAGTCAATCAGAAGGGGTACTGGTGGGTGTTTCCCACAAAGATCTTTATACTACATGAAGGCAAGACCTAAATCTTCAATATGGCAGAAGATCTTAAAAGATGTTTGACTATAAGTAAACTCTCACCACACTCTCCCAGCATTTTATCTTTCTCACTTCATTCTATCATCATTCTAGAAGACTCATCATTCTGCATATAACAATTTAATTTTTCAGTCTTTTGAATAACTGCTCAGTCATTGACCTTTCCTCCTTGCTATGTGGATCCTTGTTATAGGATTTTGTAACGGATCACCTGGCACCCCAACTGAGCACCTCCATTGCCGAAAGCTTCCTAGCTGACGCCGAGGACTATAAGCACTGAACTGGACACCACAACCACCGCAGACTACACAACCGCCGTAGCTTAACTGTAATCTTGCCGTCTTCCTTCCACCCTGGATCAACCTCTGAAATCCAGGACCTAGTCGGGGAGACCTCTCCTTCAGGAGAGCATAACAGGAACAGCTCTTAAAAGAGCTAAGTGATTAGAGCCTAGGGAAGTATACAAAGTATACCAATCCCCAGTGTGATTATAGCAGTTCCCCTCCAATCACGAGACAAGACTACGTGTTGAGGGTCAAACAGGAACAGAAAGTTTAATGGCACACACTGGTCTTTAATAAAAATTATACAGCAAAGGTGACACTCAGATGGACCTGGTTGGGCACCGAATACAAAACATACAAGCCAATAAAAGCAGACGTTTACATTTAGACACTATCATACAGTGTACACAATTAACAAAGACAATGGACTAATTCAATTAATTTTAAGCAGAAAAAACATAAATTTTTACAAAGTCTGGAAAACACCCCAAAGCATAACATATCTCCATCTTATATCCCATGATAGCCCTGATCTGGGAACAACATATCCAAAAATCACCCAGATCAGAGCTGGGGATCAGGAAATTCCTGGAAGTCTCTTTTGACCAACTGCAAGCATTGCTTCATACCCAAAACAGTTACAGAGAATTAGGCTGTGCGGCCGGTCTGTTTTCAATGTTAAAAGTGCACTACAGTACAAGGAAGGGTGGGGTCAGACAATAGCAAGGGTTGATGGGAGATGGAGGAGGGACAAAGCAGCCAGTTAAAACTGGTCTGGCAGTGTCCCTGGGACAACAACCTGCTGGAGAAACAATAGGACAGGAAAAAGGGGGAGAGGAAGAGGCACATTTTCCCATCAAAGTCACTTTTTAACATGTCTTTTTGCAGGGCCCACAGTCTTTGGGCAAAAGGCTGGCCATTAGTCCTCTCCAAAAACCACTGGCGAAATTGCTTTTGTCACAGATCTGATGCCATCTTATGCAGCTTACAAAGTCCTTACATTACATGATTAGTTTCTAAATTCACTGATGTCTTTTCACTCTGGTGTGTACCTGTTACCTGTTGTTTACAAGTTTGTGACAAGTGAGATGAAATCATGCTGTCATTGACAGACATCTCTGAGATTCTCATATGTTTACAAACCCTTCTGAATCATTTTTTCTCAAACAATTGCCTTGAAATGCCCCAAGCCAATCATTTGCATATCTTTCTTACACTTCAAACTTCCCTTAACAAGTAATATGGGTTCTCATGGGAGTGTGCCTCACAATGGACTTAAAATAAAATGAATTGATAATGCCAATTTTTTTCCCTGATAGTAAACTCTCAAATGTAACCTATTTCCTGCATTTGCTATATACATTGCATCATGATGAGCCTCCTTCTCCAAGCATCCCAAATTCTTGCCTAACATTCTATGGTGGGAACTACATACTGGGTTGAAATACAATTTCCCTAACAGGCTCTGACCTGCCACATTTCTCTATCTGGTTATCAAAGTCCTGTGAGGTCTCATTGCCCAAGTATTTTCATTGCCCAAGTATTTTGAACTCTATCTCCTTATTGGAGATAGAAATTGGCAGTAAAGTATGACACCCATCCCCACTTTTGCCTATTATTCATAGCACTTTCTCCAGGCTTATTTGACAGAATCTGGTCTTCAAAGAATATATTTTTTTTATATACAAGTGTTCCCCAGTGTGCAACTTCTATATTATGAGGACTTAGAAGCACAAAACCTCTTAAACACTTTAGATTTTTTTTAGATACTAATGAATAAAGAGGTCTGTGTCATGCTCCTGAGCAGGTCAGAGAGGAGACGATTGCAAGGGTTATTGGTATTGCAGCTAGTTATAGGTAAATACCTTTTAGGATAAGGCAATACAGGATCATGCAGAGGTTGAAACAGGTAGGTATATTCCAAAATAATATAATGCAGGTTGCTTACGAGATCATGCAGTGATGCAGCAATTGAAGCAGTTAAGATTCTTCAATGAAGGTAATACGCCACAAATGAGGATTCTTGGAAGCTGATAAGGAAAGTCTTTCGGTAAGATGTAATTCAGGCAAGTTCAGGATGAAGTAATGCAGGTTAGTGCCTTTCAGTATGAGGAAATGCAGATGAGTACAGGATGAGGCACTGCAGGTAAGTTCTCTACAGAAAAAAATAATGTAGATAAAATACAGGATATTACCAGGAACAGAGATCCTTTATCAGAGCATAGACATCAATGTCAAGGCACTGTTGTGTGCCGGGAGTAGACTTATCAAGCCTCCTAATTAGTTAATCGAGGTGAGGTTATTGAGGTGAGTGAATAGATTAGTGACTAGGGAGGCCACTAGAGGAGAAAATCATGAAGTTCACTTAAAAGGCCAGTAATAAACAAAAAAGTCTTACATGTCAGTTTTGAAACCTGACATACCCCCTCCTCAAAGAGCGGCCTCAGGACGCAGATTTCTGAAGGCAAAACAAAAACATGGAAGAAGAAGAACAAAGGTATATACTGTCCGGTTGAAACAGAGAAGAAGAAATCAGAGATAAAGGAATTATTTTTCCTATGTTTTTTTCTTCATTTCTCTGTCTTTTAGGGCTTTCTCAAATATGGCTAGGTCTTCACGATGTGCTATCATACCGTTTGTGGCTCTTACAGGGTTAGGTGATAGTTCTTCAGCTATGGCATTTTCTTTTCCATTAATATCAGATTCAGTAATAATTGTACCCATGGTAGCTGGTTGATCAGGAGTGGAGGTAGAATTTTGTTTGAAGGCCAGCTCCAGGGGATTAGCTTCCACAAACCTCCTTTCAGCTAGATATCTTTCATGTTTGGTGAGTTTTTCTATAGGCAGAATAGTACCATCACTGGCTTTTATGAGCCCAGGCGCACCATAACAGGGTTTTGCAGTATTCTTTCCTGCGGAGCGGCTGATGGGAATTGTAGTCACCATAGTCACCATAGGTTCAGGACATTCGCTCATAACTTCATCTTCTGACTGACTGTCATCTAAAGGCAGAGCATCACAGTACATTTTTTTCTGATCTCTTCTCTGTATCATGGGATGCTATGGAATCATCTGGGAGAGAAAAAGTAAGTATATCTTTTTTTATATAGATTAGACATACTGTGTTTTGTATCCTTGCATGGATGAGTGCTTCGTTCTGTAGCCCTTTGCTTGGTTTCAGTGACCACAGCAGGTTTAGGAGGTCTTGTTGGGCATTCTGTGATTCTGTGCCCTTTCTCTCTCTTTTATCTATTTCCATTTTAGTAAGAGGTTCTGTTTTCTTACTTTTTATGGAAGGAGTGATGGTCTTAGTTTTCTTTGGTTTTATACAAGAGCTTGATTGTAGTAACAATGAAACAGTCTTGCACAGTTCTAAAAGGCTTTCAGCAATTGTAGATAGAACACCAGTTAACCCTGTAGTCTCCATTTTTAGGCCTTGACATTGAAGCCTATGCTCTGATAAAGAATCTCTGTTCCTGGTAATATCCTGTATTCTATCTACATTATTTCATTCTGTAGAGAACTTACATGCAGTGCCTCATCCTGTACTCATTTGCATTTCCTCATACTGAAAGACACTTCATCCTGAACTTGCCTGAATTACATCTTACCGAAAGACTTTCCTTATCAGCTTCCAAGAATCCTGATTTGTGGCGTATTGCTTTCATTGAAGAATCTTAACTGCTTCAATTGCTGCATCACTGCATGATCTCGTAAGCAACCTGCATTATATTATTTTGCGATATACCTACCTGTTTCAACCTCTGCATGATCCTGTATTGCCTTATCCTAAAAGGTATTTATCTATAACTAGCTGCATTGCAAAGTATCCTGGAAATCCTTAACTACTTGATATAACTTCAAGCTTGTTTGTATACAAAAGACTTTATTCATTTACTTTCTAAAGATCTTGTTTGTGGCATATTGCCTAAACCCTGTTTCTTCTCACAAAGTATCCTGTTTGTGGCAGACTGCCCTTTATTCTTTATTTTCAGTAAAGTTATGTCTAATACGACAAATAAAGTTTTAACCAATAACCCTTACAATCGTCTCCTCTCTGACCTGCTCAAGAGCATGACTGTCTGCCTAAGCAGACTAAAAGGGTGCCCTACCCCAGCCAGTATGGTTTGAAGACCCTTGTCTAGCAGGTACAGCCACAAATGGTATTATTACTAGTGCATTTTTCAGTATATCCTGGAAATTTGACCACATTAACACTTTTAATATTTTTATTCCAAATATGTAGTGTATTTTTAAAAGCTGTATTTTTTTATATCCAGATTGTTATATTGGTTCTTCAATCCATTAAGCCATATATGTTAGTTTTAAAATAAATTGTTGTTCTAATTCTACCCATGGTTTCCATTTATAGGTTAGCTAATCTAATATATGTACTAGATGAGTGGCCTGGTGATATATTCATTAAAATCAGTGGCTCCAAGACAATCTTTATTTTTCTAGATCTACTTATGTATATATAGATGTAGCGGAACGCCAATATTAAATCCATGAATTCCGCTGGTTCATGAAATAATCCACAGTCAAGAGCTGGAAAAAGCAAGGCAATATCCCAAATCTCCCAGTAACCGGACAAAACACAGTTCTGAGAGTCAACTGAGGTCTTTTATTTCAGCTCCACAATTTACACAAGTCCCCATGCAAGGGGTTTCCTGAGTCCCTTCCCAGGGGCAGTCCCAGAGGGGACTACATGGGGGACTTATTGTACAAGACATTTCTCCCATCAGGCACTGCTGCACGAGAGGGATCCTCCCACTGGAATATACCGTTAAGTGGATTATCCCTCCGTGCAGCAGAACCGACAATTTATATTAAAATGCATAACTGTGGTAAGATACGGTCTATTTGCACGAATGGACGTTCGGTAGATAGCTGGGGTCTGAGCGCATCATTCATGAGATTACCGCTCAGATCCCAGCTAAAACAACCGAACACCGCACGAAAAACACATTTATTAAAAGACATGTTTAAACGACCGATTGCCTTCCAGGCAACAAAGTACCGAACGGCCCGGAGCTCCCGAACGGCCTGGAGGCTCAGCGGTGTTCGCGCCGTCGAGTAGCCGTTTTTAGTACCATGCGCTCGACGACCTAACACCGCTGTGGGAACAAAGGATCCAAGATGGCCGACCGCCGCATGGTCGGTAGTCGAACGGCGGCCACCTAGGAGAGCCTGTAATTACAGATTGCAACATTGTTGCAATCGGTTAACAAGCGCCACACGCCTCTAAGTGTGTGGGCTACTACATGGGGGTGTTTTCGGTTCACGAACGGCCCGCAAAAGTGCCGTTTGTGAAACGAAAGAAAAATTCTATACAAACAGCTATCTGCATTCGGCAGATAGCCAATACAACAAATACATGTAAATTACAACCCGCATACATTCCACATAGTTAAGCCCATATCTCCCAACCATATAGGCAACCCTTAAAGGCACAGTCTCGTTATAGTGTCCAAGTGGCTATGTTTGCCACAATAGATTACTTATTTGCCAAGATAAAATTTATTAAAGGTTTTCTTATATTGACGAAGAAAGATCCAAGCAGATAAATTGATAGCGCTTGTAATAAAATTAAAGTAATGCATTCATGGTTGCTACATTAGATCTCCCAAGCCATGATAATTGCCCTGAGGACCTGCTACTCACATCTTGTTATAACTTAATCAAAAAGGATTATAATTGGCTTCAAACAAAGCTTCTATACCTGGGGTTATTAATATATCTACATATTTCCACTTGTTATTTCACTGGTAAATAAATGTTTTCTTGAATTTGTTTTTCCTGAGATATTGACATATTTATATCCAGATATTCTCACTTTGATATGATTACTTTCAAATTTTCAATTTCCTTATTTAGATGATTGAAAAATGTTTGCTACTGTTATTAAAATATCATCTGCATATGCCGCCAATGTATTATTTGCATCTAGGATATCAACTCCTTCAATGTTTGGCTTTAAACATATAGCACTAAGCAATGGTTCTAATGTTCATACAAACAATAATGGTGACAGGGGTCACCCATACCTAATACTGCTTGTAAAGCGTAAAAGGTTTGAAAATATGCCATTGATTATTTATGTTGCTGATGGATCATCGTATATTGCCGTAATCCAATTTAATAAGAATGCACTCAACCCTACTTGTTTCAATATTTACAGCATAAATGTCAAGTTTACCATATCAAATGTTTTTTCCACATCGATTGATAACTCAATGGGCATATTGTTTTGTTTGGCATGTGCAATTATATTATTGTTTTACATAATGTTATCACAGAGTTCTCTTTGTGGGACAAACCCTGACTGATCTGTGTAAATCAAGTCCAGGAGTACTTTTTTTTTTTTTAAGTCTAGTGGCCATTATCTCAGTTAATAATTTTAAATCTGCATTAAGTAATGAGATTGGATGATAACTTTCTTAATTCTGCATCTTTACCTTCTATTGGAATTATTGTAATAATGGCATTCTTTCTTCTAATTTTCCCCATTTCTACTTTCATTAAATACCTCTAAAAGAAATGTTCTATATGTCTTATAATATGTTATTGGTAAACCATCTGATTCTTAACACTTCCCTGAAATAGTGGAAAAAAAATACTTATTCTAATTCCTCTTCTGTTACTTCTTTATCTAATTAATTGCTTAATGAATCGTTCAATATCTTATCCATATATTTATTTAAATATGAGTCAACATTACCAAGAATTCTTGTGGTTACCAATTTAAGGTCCTGGGAATGAATATTATACAATGAGTTATAATAGGGCTGGATTGTTCTTGCAATCTCTTCATTACAGTGCCAGTATTTATCCTCCTTACTGTTGTAATCAAAATAATTCAACCCCCATTGAAAAGGAGGAAAGTTGTCAAAATTGATAGACTTTCAGCTGTTTGCAATGAACAAATCAAACAAAAGCAATTAAAATAGTTTAACACAACAAATGCTTCAAGTAGTTTCGGCAAATTCAACTGAAAATGCAACATATAATTACTTCTTCAGTCTTAAAACTATTCAATTCCTTCAGAGATTACAGAGAGAACATATTCCAAAGCATATCAGTGTGATGCCATCCATAAGGGAAGTCAAGAGCTGAAATGCCTCCAAGTTGTCTCTGCATGAGAGATATAGCAACTTCTCAGAAATCTGGTTTCTACCATTGCTTCCTTTTCTGCCTCGTACAAGAAGTGTAAACACTTTTCCTTCAAATTTGAACTTGCAAACTATGCTTGCAATGCTAGGAACATTCAGCGCCTTACCTATCTTTTTGTATCATGTTCTTTGTTTGTGAAGGGCGATTCTCTATTATCTTCCCTTTAGGGATCATTATTTTGATAAATAAGCCATTTTTCTAACATGTAGTCAAACATAGCATTCAACAAACACCTAGCCAGTTCAGGTGTTTCAAGTTTTCAAACTCAAGCACACCTGGTACAACTAATGAAACTGTTTTGCATATGCATCAGTGCATTTTATTTTAAAAAAAATATTAGAAATATTTTGTACAATAACAATATAATTTGTACAATAACAATAAATACAATACAGAAATTGAAAAAAAAACAGTAATAACAAAACAAGGGAATACAAATGTACACTTATTTCCAATAATATGTAATATAAGTTCTGGGCTGCTCTTATATGGGTGGGATTAGTCTAATATGCTCTGGAACTGGCACTCTCTATAATGGCACAAGTGAACAAAAATAATTTTGAGACCTGAGTGGGGATTTACTTAGAAAGCTACTAAGGTCCTCTGTTTCTCCATTTTCAGATTTTTCGTATTGTGTGTTTTTATTTCAATGCATTAAAGAATTTGCTTTATTAAAGAAAGTAGATTTGAAAAGCCTAGAGTGCCATTATTTTGTGAAAGATATGTATTATGCTGCTGGGCACTCGGTACTGAATTTAAGGTTGGAGTGCAAGTGTTTGGATTTGTTGTGTGTATATATACATATATAAATATATATTTATATACATTCATTCATCACCAGACACATATGGTGTTCATCATTATAGTTCAAACTGATTTTTTAACCTTAAAAATAGAAATACAATACTCTGAGAAAAAGGGAAAGCTTAGCTAAATCCCAGGATTCTAACTTTCACTTGACTTTATTGTTGCAAGCGCAGAGACCACTATTTGCAGCCTCTGTGGATGTTAAATGATGTTCCAGAAAAACACCATGTACAGAATGAGATGGAAAAGAAAGTTTAACACTGCTACAGAGATTAGTTTCTCAGAGTGTTCAATTTTATTCTCACAACTTCCCTTTGGAAAGTCAAATTCAGTAAAAACAATAAAATGCAAGTATACAGAGTGTAAAGAAGGAATTATATTGTGTAGAGTCAAACAAAAACATGCTTTTATTTATTTAATTTGCTCTGAGATGTGATCCATTAGCTT